TCATTGATTTAATGCCTGCGCTAGGGTATATATCTCGCACGCCTTTAACAAGGCTCCAGCTCACATAGGAGTCGTGCTGTGGGGGGCGGGGTGCCGGAGAAGTGACCCAAGGGTATCAATTGCTGCCGAGCAGCATTTCCATTATTTCTATAATAGCGTTTTCTATCCCACTACTTTACCCTCCACCAAACCCTAACCCCCGCCAGCGGTGTGAACAGAAAACCTTTGCGTTCCCGCAAGTTGTCTATATAAATCCACCACGCCCACCTCCTTCTCCTCTTTTTTCCTCAGCTCTCTTTGCCTTTTGGTGAGTTCCCTACAACCTTTCCCACTGTCCGAACTAAGTAATGCTAACTATGTAACGGGCTTAGATCAAGTGTAGTATCTGTTCTTTTCAGTTTAATCTCTGAAAAGGCTTTCCGGAGCCTGTTCTTTGGTTACTCCTATTTTTGTTTACCCCGGAATCTTGCCTCTGGCATGCTATGCTTGATCTCCACTGTGTCGCTGGTATTGCACTGTCTCCGGCTGATGCGGGGGGCTGTCTTCATCGTTGTGTTGGTTTCTGGCATTTGTGCGAGGGGTTGAAACAATGATGGGCTATCCACCGGCTGTTCTGATGCTAAAGCGGTGATTTGTGTGGTTTGGGTCGCATCAAACTGGCCTGTATTGGTGTCGTATCATAGCGCTGGTGAATTTTATTGTGAGGGTTGCCCACATATGATAGCAACTTCACTAAACGAATCATCTTGGGTGTCCTTGTATCGTATTTGTACACGTAAGTAGGATTGATCAGTTCCCTGGAAATGGAGGACCCTAGCTTCCAGTAGCACTAGATTAGCCGCGACACAACCCCATTCTTGCAACAAGAACCCACATAACTTCCATTACCATCCCGACTCCACCGATAATCTAATTTACCTACCGTGGGGAATTCAGTAGGTCCCTAGGCTATGCAATGATTCAGCGATGCCAGAATGGAAGGCAAGGTCGGCCTTAGGTTGGCACTACAGCTCCACCTTGCACTTAGAACCTGATCACTCGTTAGCGAGATTGGGGGGTTACTGGGTGGTTGAGACTAATCCACTTGAAAGGGGGATGGCTATCCATTGTGGCAGGATACATAACTTATGGCAGTGCCTAACCCGCGATACTTCCCGGAGTGTTGGGGTATCAGGGCGGTGGTGGACATGTGCTGTATCATACTTGGGGCTGGGACAAACCCCAAGGACCCTTCATAGACACGAGGCTAGCATTTGGTAACAATCTTGATAATAGAATGATCGAGCTCGGCAGGTCGACTAGAATATCGAGGTTTACCAATCACAAGTGCTATCTATAAAGTGTTCACATATATACCCCTGCCTACGCATATAGCTTACAAACCTCATCCCCATCCCTTCGGAATCCCATTGTTGGGCTGCCGAATGTGTGAGAGTGCTGCTGTCTATGGCATCGAACGGACGCCAGTTCCCTGTTCTGGAAGGGTCACAAGATTGTACTAGCACAATATCGTACTATCTGTAGCGCAGGCTAGGGGAACCAAAATAACTTTGGCTTAAAGGGAAAGGCCTTGATAGTGCATTGGATATCGGTGGGCCCTAAATGAGCATGGGAGCGGGATTACCGGTAGAAGCTTTGGCTGAAGACTCGGGATGCATGGAGAGGGCAAACCCCTGGTCTGTGGGTTGGCCTGGATTTAAAGTGGGCATTGGGTAGCTATCTGGATGATGGAAATCGGTTTATTGAGGTATCGCACTTTGTGGGTTACGTGCGCGTTTCGGATTTGAGGTGGGTTCGCTTTGGTACGAAGGGGTAAGTAGGTGTTTTGGGGAATTTTTGTTGCGTGCATGCCCCGCCTGGGAAATATCTGTTGGGAGAAGATTAGGGTGATATGCAAAGGCCTCCCCCAGGACAAGGTCAATCGATTCTCTTCGTCACCAGGAGTAAATTTATCCGATCGGTTAAGGGTTTGTATTTCGGGTAACCGCGGCCACCTGGCCACCTGAGCAACGCAAAACGGGCGCCTAGGAATCTGTCTCACAGGCATGAGGCTCTTGGAGTTCTTTCGTGTCCCGCGGAACAGAGCGAATTCCGGTATCCACCTAACCGTGCCAAGGCTGTGGCTCCGCCACAACCCTCTCTTGCTTGCTTGCTCACAATCTTGGGCACGTCTTCTACGGTAGTCTGCACGTGCTGCAAGATTTGCAGCTCTGGGCAGTTGCGTGATCGGCAGCGGACCCTTGGCCTGGTTACCGGTTTTAGAAATAAATTTACCCGGACGAGAGCTTGCCCTGGTCAAGATTCCGACGACTCGTAAATTTAGTTGAATCAATTGCTGGTCCGAACTTAAATTTACCGACAGCTGAAGACTCGAGCACGCCATGTGACATAGTTTCCCAGACCCCAAGCGCCTTGCCTCCCCCAACCCCGGTTCCCAAGCTCCAGCCTTCTTCACTTGGCCCCGGTATTCGTCCACAGTGCCAAAACTTTGGCCTTTGGTAGACTCAAGCACCGCTATCGGTAGCTAGGACCCCCCCCCCCACAACAGAATAAAACCGAGGAATAATTCATTTCCATCTCCAACTTTAAGCTCTCACACTCGAGCACACCCAAAGCTTTCGACCCATTCCCCGGCTTGCAGAGGGATAGTTTTCGACTATTTCGATAGGCGACAGGGCGGCAACCATTCTTGCTTAAACAAGCGGGCTATCCAGCCTTCAAAGATGGCTTCCCAGCGAGCTGAAAGAAGTAACAGGATGATGGATGGGTGGGTATCCGTATCCCACCACATTTCACTTCTAATTCTCTTAGTAGAACTGACGGAAACTTCAACGGGAATGCGGGTAACAACAATGTCTTTGGCGATGGTAATGTTATCTGGAGCATGCAGATGCCCAGTGATGTGACCAATCTGGGAGAGAGGAATGAAGGGCGGAGAGTGAGGGCTAGGGGCGGAGGTATTGGTGCTCTCTACATACAGATTCCCGTCCGGAAGCTGATAAGATATCAGAGCCGAGAGAAGCATCCAGGCCGTATTGGATAGTTCCCTACGGCAGGAACAGCACATTCACCGGCCGAAAGAGTCTCATTGGGTCGGTAAAAGGACTTTGCAAAAGTACCGCTCATAACCGTGTCGTGCTCCACGGATTAGGCGGTTGTGGGTATGTCTTTTTTCTTTCAATTTATGAAGGGTTTGCTAAAGTCGCTTAGAAAAACCCAGATTGCCCTGGAATACGTTTACCAATGCGCCAGCGAAGACCATTGTGATGTTTTCTGGGTGCAGGGAAGTGGAATATCAAAATTCAGGGAGGGGTTTAAGGCTATTGCACAGCACGTCCAAGTTCCCCTAGCGAGCGCTGAGGCAGACGAAGAGGGATTGCTCCGGAATACAAGGATGTGGCTCGAAGGCTCTGATAGCGGTGACTGGATCCTAGTCATTGATAATGCCGACAATGACGCCGACTTCATTGGAAACAATAGCCCCATTGCCAAGTTTGTACCGCAAGGGCGTAAAGGGACTGTGATATTCACCACCAGATCTCAACAGGTTGCGATTCGACAGGGGTGTAAGATTATCAAGGTTGACAGGATGACAGTGGAAGAGGCTCAGGATCTATTTTCGAAACGATTTGGTAGCTGGAACGTTTTGGAAGATGAAGAGAAAAGGGTTGTTTCAATGATCTTGGAGTCGGTGGGTTACATACCGCTGGCTGTCGTGGGTTCAGCAGCTTTCATGACCGAGAACGGGACGTCACCCTCTGTTTACTGGACTATTTTTCGGGAGAACGATAGTCGGACAAAAGCGCTACTATTGGCACAGTTTTGCGACATCCAACGAGAGGTTGATATGACTGAAAGCATTCTGGGCACGTACTTTCTCACCTTTGACCGAATCACGGAACAGCTGCCCCTAGCGGCAGAACTTCTCCGGTTGATTGCATTCCTCGATCGTCAGAACATACCTGAGGAGCTGCTGATTCACTCTGGGTTGGAGGGGGTCGATGATTCAATTAAATTTCGTCAGGCTATCGGGGGGCTATTAAGGTTCTCCTTGGTTACGGAGGTCAAGCATGAAGGCACAACGTTTTACGAACTTCATCGCTTGGTCCAACTGTCTATTCAAGCATATTTGACGGTAGAGCAGGCAAAGAAAGGGAGAGCGGTTGGGCTGCGGGCCGTGAAAAAGTTGTTCCCTGAGTATGAGTACAAGCGGCGGTATATTTGTGCTGCATACATGTCTCATGCACTAGTATTAACTAAAGATTCAACCGATACAATTGCCGAGGGTCTTGTCTATCGCATGGCACTCCATTATATATTAATGGGTTCCTACGGCAATGCAGAGATTCTGGCTTACCAATGTATTGCGCTTCGAGAGGCGGATAAAGAACGGGATTGGGATGGGGAGACCTACACTCGGGTTATGCTCTTAGGAGAGGTATACCGGCTCCAAGGAAGAACCAGGGAAGCGGAGGTAGTATTTCGTAAGCTATTAAAGGGCGTGGAGAAGGCTTTCGGTTCGGACCATCCCGACACTTTAAAGGCTGTTAGAAACTTAGGCGGGGTGCTGCTAGGGCAAGAAAGGTACGATGAATCAGAGGTGATGAGTCGGCGGGCATTGGAGGGGTCTGAGAAGAGCCTTGGGTCTAACGACCCTGGCACTTTGATGGCTGCTAATGACCTGGCTCAGGTGCTGCTGAGGCAAGGGAGGTACAATGAATCGGAGGTTATGCTTCGAGACGTATTGGAGGGGTACGAGAGGTGCCTTGGATTAGACCATCCTCACACTTTGATGGCTGCCAACAACCTGGCTCTGGTGCTGCGGGAGCAAGGGAGGTACGATGAATCAGAGGTGATGAATCGACGCGCATTGGAGGGGCGCGAGAAAGTCTTTGGACCGGAACATCCCGATACTTTGAAAATGGTTGGCAACCTGGCTCTGGTACTGCGGGACCAAGGGAGGTACGATGAATCAGAGGTGATCAATCGACGCGCATTGGAGGGGTTCGAGAAGGTCCTCGGACCGGAATATCCCGATACTTTGAAAGCAGTTGGAAACCTGGCTATACTACTCCTGAGACAGGAAAAGTACGTCGAATCGGAGACACTGGCTCGTCGTGTGCTAAGGAGCATGGAGAGGGCCTTGGGCCCAACTCACCGCGGTGTACTGCCTGCTATCAGTGACCTAGCCCTAGTACTTGAAGGCCAGGGAAAGTATGCTGAGAGAGAAAAGCTGCTCCAACGTAAACTGGCAATTCATGAAGGCGGATCCGCTATTGAAAACGCGGAAGTCTGTGAAACCCTCGAGCGTCTGACCTTCTTTGATGAAAAACAAGTGCGGTGTTCTCAAGCTGCAGAAGGCTCTGAGCGGGCCAACAACGGGTTCTCTGAAACACCTAGCGAACAGGAACTCACTACCTTAGAATGCATTAGGCGGTTGAAGTTATTACGAGAACAACAGCTCCGGTCCGAGAGGACCAGCCAGGGTCAGGTGGACGTGGAGCAAGATGCCAATATCGTTAATCACCGGCGATCACACGGCGTTCGCCCGTTTTCGTGGCTGAATAGAGAGAGGTGGTTTCCCAGAAATAGGAGAAACGGGAGGGTTCGTGATAGGGATTCAGCGGTAGGCGGTAGCGGCCGGACTCCCATAGGAATGGGATGAAGTAAGACTTCCAGGAGACTCCGCGGCGGATGGGATTGTCTGGTTGTTCAAAATGGTTGGGAATGCTCGGTAAAATCTGAGAATGTTTGGGAAATTTCAGTAATTGTGGGAATTTTATCACTCGGTAAAGGTGAATTTGTTTCTATGGGCGTGTTGGTTTACTGGGCTTATAGTTGCGCGAGTTTGCAGGGAATTGGGGTGCGATCGGGGGAAACAGGGGATTACCGTAGGCAATTAGAGAACCAAATGTATACTCGAGTATAGGTTTGCCAGCCGAACTGATCCAAAGTGCGAGGGCCGCATCTCCATTTTACCGCCCAAGCTTCCTTTCTTCAATTACCTCTGTGCTCCACAGCAGGCTGTTGAATCGCCACGCTTGCTTTTGGCTTTCCACCTGCCTCCTAGTTCGGCGTGCAAAGTTCTCGACGACTACACTCTTCCCGCTGCATTACCCCCCCAGGCAACGCGACACAATATCCAGATGCACATCCACACCCCCTGTTCAATCCTCTGTCATTCTTGGCTAAGTTCACCAGTTCGTATCTTGTTCTCAATAGCTTTGCCATTTCCTCCGGACGGCCATCGGACATGGAGTCACCGGAGCCGCGAATGAGCGCAAGTGAGTTATAACTGCTGTGAAGAACGTATTACCAGTCTTTCTCCTTGCCCTAGCTTGTCAAATGCCGGGTATTCCTTCTCACCGCCGGTCGGTCGTTCTTTTTCCATTCCTTCAATTTTAAACCACGCTTCTGAAAATTGGATCCAGTGATGTCACTCTGTCGTAAACCATCAGCTCTCCCTGTCCTGGAGGAACACCCTCTCACTCCTTTCTATATCCGCTGGCCTAGTTTCTATACGCTGTCCTTTTAGGTTAGAATATTCGAGAAATGATTTGCGGGGGTCTTGCGGTCTCGCGGGAATGTCGTAGAGCTTGTCGTAGTAAATCTCGAGACCGGGCGGTAAAGCTTTGCATGAGAAGACTCAAACCCGCTATCAGGAGGAGAGGGGCGAATAGGCAAATAATGGCCAAGGGGGAGAGAGGAGAGAGGAACGATGGTGGTGTCGGCATATTAACGCAGACATGTGAAGGAGAAATAGAAGGGGGGATGGGATAGGTAAAGATTCTCTGCTTGATCCGTTCCATGACCCTCTCTCAGGCTTGGGTCTACCCTTTTATGAATGAAACCCCATCTACCCCTAGGATCCGGGAACATTGATTCTCAGTACATAGCATCGATCCAACCATCCCTCCCCTATATTCATGGAATAGTCGGGTCTCCCTGTGTCAGCTTGTGTTGCACGCCGGGGTAACCGGGTATCTTGCATCGCAGCCCTCAGTCCGATAGCCAAACCAGGCATCCCTATGCAGAACCAGTTTGTAAACCTCTTCACCGGGTTCCCCAGCGGGCCTTATGTTTCTTAGTAAGGTCCGGATACCAATTTGGTTCAGCTGGGTTGTCTCAGTCAGGGCACTCCCTGGACATCCCAGCAAACACACAAATCAGTGCGACGGGAGGTGTGAGGGGCTAATAGTAGCTGACAGTGAAGCTCGGATCTTTTAACATGATACACTAAGGCAAACTTTATCTTTATTTTTTCCCAAGGACGGCGTGGTGGTTGTGAGAGTATGATATAATACCGTAAAAACTAAAATAAACGAAAAATGTGCTAGACAGTCAAATTAAGGTGAAACAGGCCAAGCAAGCTAAGGCTGAGTGTGCAATATCATTTTATAAGTCTTGGCAGCTACTCAAAAAAAACATTTTCATCATCACTATTGCTACAACACTCATCATCTTCAAGCTCATCTTTAACAATACCACCAATGGGGCCCCCCTGCACAATAGAAGCCTCCAAATCATCTTCTAAGGTAAGCCCCCCCCCAGAGTGCCAACATGCTAACCCCTCAACTAGGTACCCTGTTTCGATTCCCTTTATCGAAATCTCTGCATCAGCACTTCCATCGATAGGAAGTGATAAACTGACACAACAAAAGGAGCGGCAAACAACTTCCTCCTTTTCTTGTAAAAACCTCTCCCAAGCCTCTCCAACAGCCCATGTTGTAGCAATCTGCCGGTGTCCAATCATACTTCCAGTAAGTTTTCCTCCTTTTTCCAATATCTCTTCTTCCTCTTGGTCGATAGTATCTAAATGTATATCCAATTCTTCCTATAATATATATTGATTAGTACATGAGCTATTAAAGATAAGTTGCCTCTCTCCCATCTCTTTACCTTTAATATATCTTTGAATGGCCGGTTAATTGATACATCTAGAGGTTGAACCAAGCCTGTATATCCACCGGGAATCATACTTATGATAATGTCATTAGCCCAGAGCGTATCAAGAACCTCTTCGGTCTTATGCACTTTAAAGAGATCCATTGCAAGTAATGAGGGCTGATCACAAAGTGTAGGAACTAGTTGCTCATCGAGCCACTCTAGCATGTTGTAACAGACAGGGTCAGAGGGTCGGGTAGCCCAAGGCACACCACGATCAGGACAGGCAGGAATCTGGAGACGAGGTCTAGGTGCGGGGGTACAACCGAAGCGAGTTGTACGAGGTTCGGGGTTCAGGGGTTCAGGGTCAGGGTTCAGGGGTTCAAGAGGACGCCAGAAAGTAGAGAGTGTAATTCCTAGGTACAGGTGTCCGAAGGAGATTACCAGATTGCGTAAAGAACATAAAGTATAAGGGGGCACACCCCCTTATATAGATAGGAAATCCTCCATGATCACTAATACAAAAGAAAGCCCTTGGCGTCA